TGCGTAATAACGAGGCGGCCTTCAGATACTAAGGTTTTTGTTATTGCTAGTGGGGTGGGACTAAGTCCCTTGTACTGCGGCCACTTCTGGCCTATTTTACCAGCTCCAGATGATAGGTGAGGGTGACTGTGGAGCAATTGGTGGAATGAGGATTGGCAGGGGAAATCGAAGTACTCGGAGAAAACCTGCCCCAGCGCCACTTTGCCCACCACAAATCCCCCTTGATCAGACCCGGGATCGAACGCGGGCCGTCGCGATGGGAAGCCAGCGACTAACCGCTTGAGCTATGGCGCGGTAAGATACTGAGGTTAGCTACGAATATAACGGTAAGCAGCCTTAGATATTGAGTGATCTTCCAACTTTCGGTTTGGTGCAGGGCTAGCAACAGCTTACTGTAAAATTTCCCGTGCTACGGAACTTATACAATGGAAGAATTTTCACCTGTGACGGACGAAAATAGTGACGAGTTGTGGGTAAGACGCTGAGATAGACATATTTATGTTCTTCAATTGTTATGTGACACTGGGGTAAGTTTTCTCCTAGTACATCGGTTTCTCCTGTCATTCCTTATTCCACCAACTCGGTTCCATATTCGTTAACCGTCTTACCGTGAACGCTGTGTAGTCTCGATACTGGCAGCGTCATTAAATAACTACCTTAAAATCAAGGGATATTTGGAGCCATTTTGTCTAGGATGAAGCGCTCGAATTGTGGAGCTGATATCACGTCCGTGTGTAATGCATGGAGCTTTGGCTCTGTATTCCAGACAGACCTTCATGTCTTCGTGCCTAGGTACAGAAGCAAAGTTACTTTCCCTACGATCTTATTACTGTCGCCTATGTCCGCAGTGAGCACATTGGGACGCAGACATTAAATGCCCTTCCTTTGGATTATTAATTGTCACCGATGCAGTTAGTTGTATGGGGGGCTGGTGGGGTGAAACGAGGCTGCGGTTTGTTCATTAGTAATTGCGAATGGAAAACAGATCGCTTTTGTCTTCTACTTTGAAATTGATCGCCGATAAACGGACGTCCGTTTGTTTCTTCTGTATAATGGCGCATTCTCGCTGTTGTGTGTAGAGACAGAAGGGTCATTCACGTGTGTACATGGATTGTTCCTTTCATAGCAACGTTGTGTGTTGTCAGCATAGTACAGGGCTGGGAGATAGATTCTATTAAGTCCACATATTGCTCCCATATTTTCTTATATATGTAATTGTGTCCTATGTTTTGTATGGGTGAGAAACCTGGAATCTTATTTTAAGGAAAGCAAACATATTAGAAATATTTAAGACTTATTTAGTGCCGAAAATAATTGGACTGAAGAATAATCTAGTAGTAAGTATTGCAGTAAAGCGGCCTCCGTAGTCTAGAGGTAACGTTCCCACCTCATGACTCGTAGTACGCGGGTTCAAATACCCGGCGGAGGTCGTCGAATTTTTAAGGGCTGAAAAATTCAGGGAACAAGTAATTCGGGAGGGACTTTAGGCCGTGGGTCCCGTGTCGTAGCTTTACAGCACGTAAAAGAACCTCATATCTCCAAAGGAGGTCACTGAGCCAAATTAACGGATGTTACCCGCCCAATAGCAGTCTCTAATACCTCTGGTAGATGGGGGAAAGCATTATAGATACCTCTCAGCTAGTAGAGCCGGTCTCGCTGGCTGGGCGGGACTGATGGTAAGCACCAGTACCGGTAGGATATAGAGACTGGTAGAAATCATAGAGGGAAGCACAATGGACCAATACAGGTCTCAGTGCATGGGGAAACCCACCCTCTCCAATAACTAACTAAGTATTGCAGTATTATTAAACGGAGCTTGAAATGAATGGATACCTGGGTTTTATCGGAATACATGCTTGATCCATGTAGTACTGCTTTTTAATTGCCGTAAATTTGTCCATAATAAATTGAAACGCTTTATACTTTAAAAATGGAATTGTAGAAAGAAGTATGTAACAGAAGAAATCTGCTTGAATATTTGTTTTCTGCTCATATAATTTTGTTTCATGCTGCACTTCCTGGAATTTATTTGAGTGCAGCATGTCTGTCACATATAGAAACAATGAAGTGTACTACATGTATACAGAATATTTTAATAGATTACATGAAGAGTAAAAATGTAAAGGAAAGCAGAACAAAATGTTTTCCCCTTAGTGACACTGTGCCCTATGGAGGAAGAAATAATCAATTCCCAGCTTTGGATTTTGATCACGATTAGCATACAAAACGACGTCCATTATTCAATAATTTGTTGATTAGTGGCTCTATTTCAAAACTAAAACTTCTTGAATCGAAAACATACTCGGATTACTTGAGATTTCATTGTAATTGGGTTGTACTGTACATCATATTATAATAATATTTACTAGCTAAAATTCACCTTCACTCTTCGCGCTGCTGGACCTGCCCACGCCAGTGATGTCACACGATAAATTGTCTCTAATTTGTTACAGAACTGTGCTTGGCGCGAGAGGGCTGGCAGAAGAAGTGGGTCATGTGGACATCGACAGCGGCCTCCCCGGTGTGGGCTGTAGTCCTCGCAGCACTAGGAGCGGCAGCCACTTGTGAGTTTAGTTACAAGCACAGTGTCTGACATGCTCACTTACAGTTGACATGTACAGAGAAACAGACACTGGTGAGTTTAGTTACAAGCACAGTGTCTGACATGCTCACTTACAGTTGACATGCGCAGAGAAAAAGACATTGGTGAGTTTAGTTACAAGCATAGTGTCTGATATATGACATGCGCATACAAGCAGATACTGGTATGTTTAATGCTAAGCTATAGTGTAATTTGCTCACAGATACCGTGCGCATATATAGATGATGATGAGTTTCATGCTTACACAGTGTATAATGTGCTCATTTACAGATTTCATTTGCAAGTAAGTAAAATAGTTTAAAATATACATGCCTTGTCCTGTGCCAACTTTCAGATAAATGCTCAAAGAGGCAGACGACAGTCTTACATATCATATATTATGCTTACTTATAGATGATATTCAAAACAGGGGCTCAGTGTTTTGTTGTTAAGGCAAAAATAATGGTGAAGACCGTCGTGCCTAGAGAATAGAGAAGGAATAATTTCTTCATTAAACACAGAGTTCACGGGTCAAACATGGTCTATTTTGCGTCGAATCACAGAGAATAAATTTCTGTACCCACGGATAATTAAAGGATTTCTTTATAGATTTCGGTAATAAATTCCAATGCAAAATTGTGTATTATTTATGGACTTCGCAGTTAGTCACAGTACGTTTGAGATACCGGAGTTTATAGGACTAATTAAAAGTTTGAAAGACATGCGCGGTTAATTTCATTCAAAACAATTATAGATTACAACTAATTAAAATACCGTGCTCCATCTTCCCATGATGATGAAACCCTGGCTACAAAGTGGAATGTTGAAACTCGCCTGGAAGTTTATTCAAGTTTGGTACGCCTGATTTAGTCATCATCATCAGCTTTACAGTTTAGGCAATATTACGCTGTTCCGCCCAAATTCGAGATCTCTTGTTTGGATTAATGGTCTCATATACCATATTTCCCCGAGTTTAATGTGAACGTCAATTTTGAGAGTTTAATACAGTAACATATCAAAGTTTAGTTGCATGAAATATTTTGAATAATTTCTAAATCTAGTAAATAACTTACCGATCAATGAATTGTATCGAATATGAGTTCTACTGCTTATATCTGTCGGAATTTGGTCCTTTCAATCTTTCAGCTAAGAAATAAGGTAATTATATATATTAACTTTGACTGCTGCTGTACGGGTAGGATTTCAAAAGTTTCGTGTCACTTGTTGAAAATTTCCTTTTCTTTTGCGCAAAGTTTCGCGGGGCGTGCGAACACTAGGACTGCTTCTTCTCTTCCCCCCTCCACACCTCTCAGTTACCCATCGCCAGCCTTCCTTCATCCATAACATGACCCAAGTGCTTAGTGCTTCGTCCTATATAAGACATATCTATAAAATCCTTCTGTTCTAACTCCAGGACTTACTTTCATATTGTTCTGGATTCCACTAACCAACACGCACATTCACACACTGTACAATGCACTCAGTTTCTTCACTGTTTTATTTGATGTTTCTGAAACCAAGGTAAAATTTCCTTGCCTCTCCTTCTTCCTTTTCGTCCCGTCTGCAAGGCAGGAAGAGGAATTTGATGCTCACAGCACGTGACAGACTTTAATTCTACTTGACGCGCAGTCAGAACGAATTATGCTGTCAGCATGATCAGTTCCTAATTAAGATTCATAGCCTCTCTCCTCTGTTTTAAGATGTGTATTAATTAAGTGAGCTATAAAATGAATTATATTATTTAATTGCTTATATTACGACCGTCGACATAACAAGTAATATGGGAATATCTTCAATAAAGACAATAGTTGTTGGTATATAATTTGCTTTTTTAATATATATGTATATATACATATTTATAATATATATTATATATATATAATTGAAGATGTTCCCATATTACTTGTTGTGTCGAAGGTAATATAAGCAAGCAGATATTATATACACAAAAGGACGCATTCTACACGTGATATTACTATACAGATCGATTTAGAAGTACGCTGTACATGTTCTGGGGGTGCTCTTTTCGATTCTCTGCCGAGACAGTAGCTGTCCTGACTGACATAATGCTCCACTTCATGACTGACGATAAGATATCCTTACAGTAAAAATAGATGGAGTATAGGCGGATATAGTCGCTAAACCAATGCGATTAACGATGTTAGTTTTGCAGTTTTCCTTCTGAATCCAATTTTATTTATATTATATTATATATATATGTCATTAGCTAGAAATTGCAGTAAAGTAATTAAAGGTACCCCTGTAACAGACCATGTAGGCCCATAGGGTTGTGAGATGTTGAGGTTCCCACATTTTCTAGATAATCAGCCATAGATGCCGGTAAGGTTGTCAGCCTTACGCTCCGGCCGCCTTTTGTTCCCCAGGAAGATTCCTGGTAGTCATTTCTGTTAGAGGCTGAGTCGACCCCAGGACCTTAGTGCGGCTGGATGGATTAGGTAAATTGAAAAAACCCACCTCAACGGGATTCGATCCCGCGACCTTTCGACTTGTAGCATAGTGCCTCAACCAACTACGCTACCGCGTGCCCCCTAGAAATTGTAGACCAGTTTAAATGAATCCCGTTCCACGGGTTAAGACAGCCGGGAGAGATCAGCCAGTATAGGGATGGGTTACGGGCTGGATTTCGATTTGCGGCAGAGAATAGGGAAGTGTTCATATTGTGATCTCCTATGTTATGATACCGTGTAACGTTACAGAAGCATACCAGGACTATTAGGAGGTAGTATGTTCCTACCCGGCTCTACGGCGTCATATTCCAGAAGGCCACAGCATGAATCTTCAGAGCCGCGTAAACTCTGACCGTCCATGAACCGAAAATGGGAATAATGCCTAAGTATCAATCAATAAATTGTAGAAACCATGACTCAGTTTACATTAAATGTACGCCACTCATGCCAAATCCGTGCAGTAACGCCGCTGTCTCCAAAGTTCCGATAGTAGACGAACAGTAGCCGTGCTACAGCGGCAACTTCTCCTACATATCTGTATTGCATGTTATCTAAACAATACCTCTCGGGCGCAAGGCGTAAATTTTCTTTTCCATACCCAAAAGGGATGAATGAAACTTCCAAATATTGAAAGACAGTTTCAGTGTTGTAAAACATAAACCTTCGGATAAAATATTGCCGTAAATATTGTAATTCTTAAGAACTTACGTCGGTGAATACTCAAATTACGGTCTTCTGGCATATGGCGCCATGCATTTTTTGTGGGTTATTTAACCGAAGCTTACAGAACTTATACTGTATAGCGTCCGATTGTATATCGACTGGAAAGGATTTGACCAATTCGAATTATTTTCCCGGCTCTGCCTGTCTTAACTGAAGAAAACCACGAGTAATATCAGGTGTCTCCATGTAGTTTGGTATATACGTACCAGCGTTTCGTAAGAAAATGATGCCTCAATCTTCAGGGTAAAATCACGAAACGAAAGTAGTGGTAACAATGTAACCAAGTACATGATGTCACACCAGAGAAGAGTGTAATGCAAGCAACGTCAATATTCCGAACATCTGACGCCTATGTACATTACTGCAGTATGAGTTTCTACATCCCCTACCCGTTGAGGGCAGTGGCCTGTTCCATACATTCTTTCAGTTCCTATGACAGAGTCGTTCGTCTGCTGAAGCAGTGTGGGGGGACTATAGATGCACAAAGAAACATATCCCCTCACACGCTAGCCCGCAATGTAGGTACAAAGCAATGCAAGTAGCTTAATTATAAATGAAACGGCAATGTTAGGTTCCCACAGCGCACCTGCCATAAACTCATATCCCTGGATTCTTTTGCAGTGGCTCACTGCCAGATAATAGTAAGAACGATAAGGAAGCTTAAGAACAAAGTTCATAGGCCTGTGTCAGTTAACTGATAAGAATTATGTAGTTCTCCTAAATATTGTATAAAATTCAGTTCCTGCTTCAGGGAAAATACTGCGTCATAAATGCAAGGACCACTCAATTAAAGATGTTTAGGGACATAATCGCTTTTTATTCCAAGAATCGTAAAGTTGTCCCTCTGCTTAACTAATTATGCACTACACCATGAAGGCGTATTGTAGTGTGGCTGTATAGTTCCACATTTTCTTGACCGCGGCACTAGTTGTTGTGAATTGTCAGCTCCACGCCTCGTCCGCTTTACTCACTGGAAAGAGCACCCGGTACCCATTGAATAGGAGGCTGGGAGGGCTTCAGAGGCGGTATGGACGACGTGGAGAAGATAAAATTCTGGATCCTACAGAGACTCGAACTCCGAACCCTCTGTCATCCAGCCTGTAGCCAGTCTTTATACCGACTACGTTATCCAGGCTCCCTATTCCGAGAACCGTACGAAACATAATTTGTGGACAAACTGCACGGTTTGTTTAACGTGAAAACATGTGGTATATATAGTAACCACTGTCATTTGAAGAGCTAAGAGCTGTGCCTTTAGTCGATTAATTTCATTTGAGAGGCTTGTTAGTTGGGTTTTGTTGGGTTGAGAACTTGACGACAGTGTATCAACTGAACATTTTATTGCCGATTAATTTAGTTCAAACGGTAATCATTTTGACTTTTATGTGGGAAGCCACCAGTTCAAATCTCGGCTGGACACTTGACTATTCAGACCGACGTCTTTCATGTTTTTTTTTCGGTTCATCTAGGCAAATATCTGGATGGTATCTTACGTCAGGTCACGATAATATCTTTCGATATCATTTTCGATTCACAGTTCACTGTCTTTTTTCCTCTCGATACCTTATGATCTGAGATACTGGCAGCGTCGTTAAATAAACAAATAAATAAACATATAAATTTAAATTCTCTTGGCTGTACATTACTTGATAGGCAGTTAATTTACAGTCAGATGAAAAATATTGAAGGCGAATCGATGCTTATTTTTTAAACCTGTTGTGTTGGAGTTCACGGACTCCACTGCAGAAAACCAGTAAGGTCTTGTTCAGGATATCCGGTTCCCCGGGAAAGC